TAAACCTTAATATCTTTTCCCAATGAAAAGTGATTTTTCCACAAAAAAGTTTGATTGTAAAAGTGTTAGGTGGGAAGGGCAGTTAGGGATTTTGGATATGATAACCGATAGCTCATCCATTAGGCAAATTCGGTGTTTTTATTGGTGCTAAAACAGAAATTTTATCGGACGAGCCGCGACACATCGCTCATAACGCTGGCAAAACGTTCCCGCAAGAGAGTCGTCGTGTAGTTATTTTGATAAAATTTGATGTACATCTGAAATACGATGCTTCATCTTAATGAAGTTTGGATGTGTGGTAAAAATGTGCTTTCGCTCCTATAACTTCTAATATTCGGTGTTTCGCTTGAAAATTCTACAACTCCCCTGACTGGACATAACGAAAGTTTACGAGCGCCGTATTAGGTCCCCTGTTTATTGAAGTCTGGGACGTCCTGTTTTTAATAGAAATCCGTGTTGGGAATCTTTTCAGTCCGACTCCTTGAAAAGTCAGACATTTCGCCTGTTGAAGCGTGCAATTATTCAATCAAGGCGTTTCAGGAGTGAGCAAGCAAATCTCCGTTTTAATTATCAGTTCCCTAATTGGATTTCTATGTAGAAAATTGTTACTTTGACAGCTTATGCATCAAATTTGATATAACCCTGATGTTGACGAAGACGTATCAAGCTTAAGACAACCAACCGTCTTTTGCATTATGAATTTCCAGCGAAATAATCCAAAGAGCGGCGAAATTTTAATACGGGATTAACCAATAAGTAGAACAAGGCGAATTAGTGCGGGATTTTTAATGCAGACAGCTCTTGTGTAGCTGCCCTCCGGCGGCGAGTTTATTAGGGGGTGCAGAAACGGGAAGTTTGCTTTATTAAAGCGTTGCGGAATAGAACACCCCGAGGAAGAGAAGAGTTTTACTCACGTTAAACATCTTTAAAAAAAATCACACTTCAATCTGTGATTTTTGACACTTTGAATCGGAAAACTGTCTCGAGAAATCCTTGAATATCGAATTACGTTCAGGTGGTGAGTGTTTTCTCGTTATCATAGCGGAGACAATTTCCCGGATGTCGGGTCCACTCGAGATCGTCATGAATATAGCCTTAATCCCAGCACAGCTGACCGGCTAAGGGCACAGTCCAGACAAATTGAATTTTCTGATTTCTGGCCCGAGGCACGCCATCTGCCCTATTTTCTTTTCGCAAAACCATTATTGGATCTTGCTACTCTTTACTAATAATAACTCAATTATAATAAAGTTTCGGAGCGACCATTTCGGACCGTCCTTTTGTGTATCGTCAAGAAAACTCTCAAGTCTTTCCAACCCTTCGGTAATTAATTGTTGGGAAATAAATTACACGAGGCGGTATGCGAAAAGTTGTTTGAACCACAAATCGATCGGGAATCTGGGACGCGCTGAAATCTCTGGTGACTGTGCCAGTGACGGCCCCCGATCACAATTCAGACTAGTCCACCTCTAGTTTAATTACTTTGGAAAACTTGGAACCAATTAATTCGGAAACTCTTCCGGGAAAATATGCATCCAGTGAAAAGCATGGCACGTTTTTTATCACCCCTCGACAACTTTAAATTCTCCTCCAGACGCTGTTGTCTTATTATAAGAATGCACACTCCCCTCGTACCTCAAAATTTATTCAAACCATTCTTTCAATTTGACATTCTCTTATCGATTGTGTTTTATAAATAATACAACATTATTTGAATGCAGCTTTGCCGATTTATTCGGGATTATTCAACTGCATACATTATGCTGGATTAAAAATTGGCCCAATTTGTGCTAACAACAGAGGAATTCCAAGGACTCAGTCTAATAAGTATGACATACTTCGTATTAATAAAGTTGGTTCTTGGAAAAACATGATTTGCTAATAATATTCGATAAATGTAGTTAATTACGTTTTGTTTGCTTTTATAACATAACTACTTAAATATGTTATTTACAACGCTGGAATGTTTCAAGATTAATAAAAACCTTTACAGCCAGAACGTGCAGTTATTACTATGAGTCACTTTTAAATACTCAATCAATGATTCCTTTTTTTAACGGAAATGGGAAATGTCAAACAACTATAATAGCTTTATTAGATTAAAGCAGGACATAACGTCCTGCTTCAAAGGCAAAAAAAAAAGCGAGGCATAAATTTTTCTCAAAAAATGCGGTTTTTTGCACATCTAATGGTCGTAGAGCCTCAGAAAAGTCTATCTCGGGGCTATTTGTTCTGTGTGGATATTTCCGTTCGTCAATCGATGCACTGTGGAGATGGATGTTATATGCGCGACACAAGTTTCATTACACTTGTCTTGTTTTTATAGTTGAAACACGAGTTTGAGGTAAATGGGCAGAATCCGTCTTGTGTCAGCATTTGAATCCGCGCACGTGCAACGCGAGAGGGATGACGATGGAATAGCGCGACATGAATATCCATGACTACATGATGGATCGCAGGGGTTATTAATGGTTCCGCGCTGCCATTACCGAGACAAGCTCTTTACCAGAAAGCGACCGTCATATACCGTCATGCAATTTTCTTATCTCATGCCGCATCGCCTTTTGTTTCATCGTCAAGACGATGCGGGAGGAAAGTGGCTCTTTACCGACGACCAGCAAACATTGATTTTTGTTTCAATTTGAAAAATCGCTCGTGGTACATGCCGCAACTCGGCGTACTTTAAAACAATATAATCCATCAAGAGCAACGGGTCGGCTCGGCGTCCCTGCCTATCAAACAAGCCGATGAAGCAGAAAATCAATATCCAAATGCCAGAGGACACTGGGGGTGTTGTGCCTCAGGATACATTATGTTGGCCGTCGTTGCGAATCATGTCGGTAGCGTGCGGCTTCCCTTAATGGACACCGAGGGTTGCGCTTGGGAAAATGGTCGTTTTTTCAATCGCAATTGCAAGTTTAGTGTGCGAAAACTCCTTTTGAGTAACTTTTATTGCGGACCGATATCGATTTTAGTTGCATGAAAGGTGGTCAGTTTGGTCAGTATTCATAAGTCACAAATCCTGTTACAGAATCCCAGGCCCGAATCAAATCTGATTGATGAATTCGCGTCAGCTCCTCGAGAGACCGCCGAAGGGTAATACGTGCAATTCGACCGACGCCAAATAAAATTATCGACGTTTTCGGAAAGTTTCAACTCGCAAAAATCCAATCGCAAAACTGATTATTCTTCTTTCTTGTACAAGGAATTGCATCACATAAGCGAATTACGCGATTTATGCGAGAAATCGCGATCTGTGGAGCTCGATTCTTGAGACATATTGAATTTACATACTTTCGACTTTTGTTGTTAGTTCTTAAAAACCAAAATATGAGTTAAGCTTAAGTCCATTTTTTTCAAAAAATAAATAATACTTAAAAGTGAATATTTAATGCTCCATCTATTTCAAACAATGCATAAAATCTTGCAATCGTCATTAATTAACAAAATAACAGATGTTGAAATGTTATAAATGTTAAAAGTCTAGGGTAATGTTAGAGCGACAAAGTATTAAGTCCAAAGAGAGGTAAATTGAATCTAAGTAAAAAAAACATTAAAATCACCACGTAGTAATTTGAGTTGGAATAAAATAATGCAAATCGTTAATAATATAACAATGCCAACGGATTTTTGGACAATGGTAAAAAGCAGTTTATTTCCAATTTTTTGAATAGTCAAAAAAGAATTGCCAGACACAGGCCGAGAGAAAATTCAAATATAACAACAAGATTAAGAAGTCTACATAATAATTTTCATTTCCAAATTAATTTGCAAAAAGTGAAAGTCTGCAAATTATTTTTTCTTAATACATTGTCGATTAGTACTGAATTTTTACGTAAAGCGCTCAAAATATTTGACAACCGGAAAAACCATAGCCGATGAAAGAGAAAAGAAAATTCCCATAAACAAAGCCCCATATAATGTACAAATACATATAAAAGACAAATTAGAAGACTTTTTGAACTTTAGTAGCGTTTATTTCTTGTGTTTCAAGAAAAAAAATTGAAGATGGAAGCTAATTTATTTATAAATTATATAAATTTCTCTGGACTTTATTAACAAACATAGGAAAATTATATTTTAATACAAATTTCACAGAAAATTTTAAATTTCAATTTTAGTACAAAACCATGAAAACATTTAAATTTGTCATAATCACTCCTTCAACTTAGAAATGAACGAAAGCCTATCAGTAAAGCAAAACCAGAGGAATATCAGGACTATTACAGAAATCTTCCTTATTCAAAATGCTGAAGATTTTCCGGAAGTCAACATTTCCACTTAATAAAAATTTCATTGTAGTTAAATGCATTGAACAATAATTTACACCTTGGACTTAGCTTTCTTGTATATTGAAAAAAACTTTATATGTTTAGGGCGCTAAAGTATTAAGTTCTTTAATTTAAAAAATAAAAAAAAATCAAATATTTCTTTGTTAATCTACTATATCCACTAACAACAAAATGTTCCAGAACATAATAACCACTTTGAAATGTTAGGTAAAATTGTGACATTCTGTATATTAAGCATTTTGGACTGTTTTGGCTCTGAGGTACAGAATTAATTCTTTTAATTAATAGAAAGCGATGAAAATGAAGAACAAACTAAGCGAATTGAGTGAATTTGCGAACTATACAAGAGCAAGAGCTCTCCGCATTATCGAATTGGTTTTTAAATATGTGTATTTATTAAAAAAATATGTATATAAGAAAACATACAGAGTGGGTCTGTTGGAAGTAGGAGTGAATTGGGGGTGCTGAAAAATGGGTCAGTTGTGGTAATTTACGACGCGATTGTGTTCAAGCCGGTAGTTAGTATAGATCTTGTTATATCCGAAACTGGTCTTGGGTGTTGAATTACCACTTTGCAAAGTAAGGTGATTCCTAATTATTTTGAGACAAATTTCAACCTGTCCTGAAACGCGATCGCTATCGTTGAGTGTATTAATAATATTCGTAAAATATTCATTGTTTTTAAGTAGGTGTTTTGTTTTGTTCCAGGCGAAAAGCCGTACAAGTGCTCGTGGGAAGGCTGTGAGTGGCGGTTCGCCCGATCGGACGAATTGACTCGCCACTACCGCAAACACACGGGGGCAAAACCGTTCAAGTGCCGCCATTGCGACCGATGCTTTAGTCGTTCGGACCATTTGGCCCTGCACATGAAGCGCCACGCTTAGACGGCCTACCTCTCCGCCGCATCACTGCCAGTTACCGCTAGTGTACATACAACATACAACAATATTTTAGATAGGTGTGGATGGACTCTTGGAGCAGCAGCACACACTCACACACACATACACACATGTAGCGAGGGTTTGTCTCCTCAGTGATGTTCATTCCTGTGATCGACATCGTCGGCTAGGGCCGAACACACCTACAGAACATTTATAACTGTAGCTGTACGACGAGGCGCCGCCGTCTCCCACGTCTCAAAGGACGCTAAATTTCTTCAGATCAAAATTTTTTATCGGATCGGTGGCTGTTGGCGGGGGCGGCGACGCCTCGGGGATAGTCATGTTAGATTTAGGTGGAGTCTTTGGACGGCATTTTTGCAATGTTGTGTAAGGACTCTGGACTTTGTTAGTCTGTACGAATGTGTCAAAGTATTAACTGAAGACTGTGCAGGCGCACACCGCCGGATATTAGGCTAAATGTCACTATTTGTAATAATAAATAAAAGAATCAAAAATGTAATGTAGCGCGAACAAGTTTTTGAAGAAAAAAGAAAAACTGATATGAAAAAGTATTATAATAGGTAATTATATTTTTTGAGAAAGTGACCTTGGATGAAAATCTACTTTTTTCAAAAATGCAACGATAAGCCGTGTACAGTAGTGTTGTACAATGTGCATTTGAGCGGCGTCGTGACGTCTGTTCGAGGCGCCCACTGGTGCCGCACCCTCCGACGCATTCCTTCTCGATGCATTCTATATTTCTACTTCCTTGACTTAGGCATAGCGTGACTGTTGTGTGATCAGAGACCGTGTATATAGATTTTTAGTGTTATAGCATTTTGTACAGCTGCATGCTTTGTTAATTAGTTCGGTACATTTTACTAATATGTGTGCGAGTGAGCGAGCGAGCGAACGAGCGAGTTGTTAAAACGGGCTTGTGCGAATGTAGTGAGTGTACGAGAGGACCGTTCGTTGTTCTTCCGGGCACCTTAGCGTAGTCGTCAGAGTAATATATTAATTGGTTAGTTTATAACACGAATTTTTTACCTGCTGGACGCGAATGTTGATGTTTCAATTCCTGTTCTTTGATCGCCGTTTCGTTTTGCTTTGCGATGCGACGACTCCCACCATCGACAGATAGCGGAGGAATTGATTTTGTACGATTTTTCTAATAGCAAATGCGGTGGTTTGAGTCGTCCGTTTGCCTATTTCTTATAGAGAGGTGACATTTATTCGCTCCCCAGCCTAAATGTGACATTCTTTCATGTTCATGTCGTCTCTCAGAGACGTTGTAAATCACTAGAAGGGCGGATGATAAAAAGCGAGCGTCGTGGCTAATTTGTTAATTAGGTACTAATTGCTGGTGTCTTCGGCCGACGTGAAATGATCCAAAAAGCTGGCAAGTTGAAGCCAATTAGTGTTCTAATTAGGTAATTAAATAAATCATCGTTTGTTGTGTTTGGAATAACTGAGGGTTAGCTTGTATCGGTCGGGTTGTTAAATAATATTTGCTGTTTGATATGGGTTGGGTTTCTGTTTGGGTTTGCTCGACTGAATTGAACACAGTGTTGGTTGGCTTCGGGAAGGCACCGTCTATTACGTTGACTGTTTAACATTTTCTTTAACATAATTCTAGTGATTTAGAATGTGCTCTGTGTTGTCTTTTAGTTCGTACGCTCGCCGGCTTTGCTGTTGCGGGCCGGAATACCTAGTTTTTAAGATGATTAGGAAATACTATGTGAATATAAACGAAATATTTTGCCAATGGAAGTTGATCTTCTCTTAGGATTTGGAAATAATGTTTCTATACCAGTAATTGAAATGTATTTGTAAATGTATTTTAACTATAATTGAATTTTAGATGACCCAATTTGTAAATAACTACATGGTATGCGAATAAATTTTCTGATCTATTTAAATTTAAATTTTGTAATATTTCCATTTTGTATTTCTTGATGATGGTGATAAATTTTTGTAGTCTGTAAATATTTATTTGAGAAAATATTAAATCTATATGTAATTATTATTCTATATGTAATATCAAAGCTCGTGCTATTTTCGTCCTACCAAACCAAATACGAAAATGACACGAACAGATGCACAAATTATATTTAATATATTTCTGTTTTTTGTGAGAGTTAATTCTACATATTCGTCAACCAAACAAACAGTCGGCGAGATTTCGTACGCTAGCTTGTAATTCCGCTCAGTGCAAATAAACGTACGTTCCTGTTAAAATTAATAAGCTTTTTATTTTCCTTCACCCTTTTATTCCCTCCAAATTATAACTTTCATTTCTTACATTACGACATTAAGCTACAGCTAAGTGATATCTAATTGCAACAACGCTGCTCGCTCGGATGTTATACATTTACATTTATTAAAGCCTTCTTCCCAATTCGAATTTACATCTGGCGGAGATGCAACCGCTGATAGAACTGCAACTGACTGCCGAAACTGCTGATATTAAATTCTTTAATAAATTCCCGCCACCATATTCATTTATTCCCTTTTATTAATTTTCGCATTTGATTATGGAATCATTAATTAGGCGAAAGTATGCAACCAAGAATACACGTTTGTACAAGGTGGCCTATTTTTAAAGTTTTGAAAACCGAAAAACGTTTTTTGGGTCCCTGTGATCCTAATATACTTCTGACGCTTTCAATTTTAGTATTTTTATCAAAAATTTCATCGTGCTGCGCACACATGGTGTTCATAAAAAAATCGACAATTTTTGACAACTCGTATTATAACTGAAAACTTTATTTTTTTTAATTTCAAATACCTCTGCATTTCTAAGATCCTGCTACTTTTAATACTTTTTAAATATTAAATTTTTGTAAGAATTTGGAATCTCAACCCAACCAAAAAGGCAATGATAGTGAACATAAAAATTTATTTCTTTGTTTTTTGGTGCATGTCTAGAGTATATCTTTTAATTCTTTAAGTGTGGGAAGTGCAGGCAGGATTTATGTGATCCTTGGTTGGGAAGCTCTGCTTGATTGGTATTGGCAGTGCCGATATCTCAATGTTCGCTTGGCCGAGTAAATAGGTCAAAGAAGACTACTAGATTCGCCTTTTAACGGCAGCTTGAAATAAGATGAGGTTTGTTAAGAGAGTTTTTCCTCTCACAAATTGACCAAAAGAGTCCCCCCCTTCAAAGCGTCTGCGTTCTTTCAACGCACTTTTAATTTAACCGGAAATTTAAAACACATGTAATCCGAGGGTTAACTTCGTTAGTTCTTGATGACGTCTCCGAATAATAAAATTGTGTTTATGGAAGTGGTACAGAGCGAAATTAAATTTAAATATATAATTCGGTTAGAGTTAAAATTTCAGCATCTGGATGTCATCATCAGTGCAGACGGCGCGGCGGCTGTTCAACACCACCAGCTCTATGTTTTGAAGGTATTGTCAGAGATATATTGCTTTGCGAACTCCACTCAATATGCGTCCTTAGGTATCATAGTCGTAGGTGTTAATACCGCTTCTATTGTCTCAGCCAATAAGTCACTGCATGAATATTCAAGAAGCAAAACGGTTTGCACCTGCTTTCATTTTACGCTCCCGTCGGTTCACACTAATACCAGCTACGCAGAAATAATCGCAAAACACGACTCGTCATCTGAATCACTTCGAGAAACTGATTTATGTCGACAATTGCTGAAAACTACCGATATTTGCGTTTTCACGAATTAGTTTGGCTTACTGTTGTGATAAATCGGGAAATGTTATTTGGCAACAAAGAATTCTACAAACTGCACAACCATTTTTCATATCCATATAAATGTTAAAGAAATGTCAAAAAAAATTTCAATTTTCAGCACCACAACGGGATATTTAATTGATCTCTATAAAATATATTCAATTCCATAAATGCATTCATGGTTGTAATGAATATAATTTCGCTCGTAATTGCAACTACGTTTCAAAAATAATTGCTACTTTATTACTTGTGATTAATTCCTTCAACTAGGTCTTCTGTCATTAAAGTTATTTAATGCGTTGAAAGAAATGTCAATGCGTAAAGTACAGTTTATCCTTGAATTGAGTTTATTATTCAAATTACTTGAACAGTAAGTTAAACAATGGAAAATAAGAATTTCCCAAGATGACTTTATTTCTGTTTATACAATCTTCTCGGGTTCGAAAATGTTTAATGTTTTCTTGAAATATTGGGTGTAGCACTCACACTATCGAATTCGTAAATGTTTTACTCCATCTTTGCATCATGTGCGATGATTTATTTCTTCAAAACACCCGAAATAATTTTTAGACCTCAATTAAAATTTGAGTTTATTATTCAAATTACTTGAGCAGTAAGTTGATTTAAAGAAAGCACGATACAAGTGAAACTTTTTTTCGGATCAATACACTGATCAAAACACACAAATACCGCGGAGCACTTGCACGAATGAGTAAGAATATAAATGCTACACGGTCAGCTGATGCGAGCCATGGGCGCCGCCATATTGGCCTTGGCGCCTTTCACTTTACCGCGGCCGGCTGTAATGCGACATGCCATAGATGGACGAAAAATTTTGAGGCCATCAAATAAAAGTTTCACTTTAAAAATAAAAAGAATTTCCTAAGATGATTTTAATTCTGTTTATCCAATCCAGGATTCAAAAGTAGCTACGTGGTTAAATAGAGAAAAAATAAGAGTTTTTACAATCCAGGAGTTAGCATGGATAAATTCTACTCTGTAGTAGTTGGAATTTAAATTTATTTTGTACTTTTAAAAGCTTCTACACAAGTAAATAACGACGACGTTTACATATTTCAAATAGCGTTGCGGAAAAAAGCTTTTAAAAGTAGTTAGAAATGCTTGAAATTCACTAGCAATATTTTCGGTGACATGCATGTTGAAAAATTTAGAGACAGTGGCGGGGGGCTCAATTAGTTGATGGGTTTTGATCGAAGATTAAGCATGGGATTAAGGCCGGAGAGTTGTTCAATATTAAAATCCAATATCAGTGCGGAGTCAGAAAGCAGAGCATCGGGGTTGGAAAGCCCGTCATCCCTAGTCTCGTATAAGTCAAGATAACGCAGCGAGACCTGGAGCATCTCCCTACAAAACGTCCTTCTGACTGCCGGATACGCTAGCTTACGCGTAATGCGAGATTAATTGCGTACGTTAGTCAATGCCAGACCATTATATATCACGGGATTTAGACGGTAACGGTGCCCGACTCTCCAAAGACCGACAACTTTACATTTTATAACCCCGCACGAAAAAAGTCCAAACATTTTAAATTCTGACAAATTATAAACGCGAAACGCCACAAGAAAGGGGCAAAAACGACCCATTTCGCGTCTTAATTTTATCTCAGCGAGGCATTATTCTTATTTGAGGCAATTTCGTCTGTTTTATGGCGGAGGACCATCTTCGTGATGTTACCCTGGACAGCGATAATAATATTTCCAGAATTCGAGAATGTAATTAACAGAAAATCATGCAATGTACACACATAAATGTATGGGATTCTGCAAAACTTCAAGGGATGTTGACTGAAGCCACTTAGTTAATTAGAAGCAGTCATGTAACTAAACTTTAATCTACTGATAAGTTATGCAATAAATTCACCCAAAAGACAAATACTTTTATGCTCAGCACAACCCTATCGTGCTTTATTAGCTTCTGTAAATATAAAATTACAATTTAACTTTACTACTGAATAATTTCTGCAATGACATAAAACTGCAACTTTTCAAGTTCAACACAGACAAACGCTTTTTCCGCTTTTAATCACTTAAAGTAAGAACTTGGGTTAAAATATTTACGCAATTTTCTTAATTAGGTTAAAAAATCACGTATTCGCAGTGCCAAATTTGTGCAAAGTAGAGGAGAAGACGTGTGTGAATAGCAAGGATAGCAGAACGTGCGTGCTTCGCATCTGTAACTAATTAATCATAGTATCTAATTCGCTAATTGGGAACAAGACCCGACTATCTAAAATTGAGGAATGATCCTCCTTTACCACCTGTGTGACGGCGTTACACCAAACAAATTTTTAATCAAATGATAAATTGATCAGGGAAAAAAAACCGCAGTGTCAACAAATTCGAAATTCATCATTAAATTAGCACAGAGATGAATAAGAAGTGACACAAAAAATTTAATATGTATCTATCATTCGGCGACAAAAAATGAAATGTGCTCGAGTTCCCACGCTGAGTGGATCCTTTTGCTTGTCCTTTAATCCTTTCACGGATATTGTGCGAATAATCCAACGTCGATATTTCTTTTTTAAACGAGATTCTGGATCCAGGAGAAGCATCAACAACAAATCTGGGCAATAACGGTTTTCATAAATTTCAGCATTTTTGTAGAAGGCATTGTTGAATTGTGATATTTTCAGAAAGCATTTCTTTTCTTAAAAATAATGATAAGTAAAACAAGCAAAATTCCGAAAACCTATTTGCATTCCTGATTCTTTTAAAATAGATTTGTAACAAAACCTCTCGACATTTCCTGTGATCTTGATACTCCAGAAAATTTCAAAATTTTGTGTAAATTTTAATTTTTAAATTTGTGAGTTCCTGCGATTTTGATACTCCTGATAAAATTTTACAAGTTTTCAAAAAAAAATTTCGGTTTTTTAAACTTCAAAATCTCTTTAATTTAACAACAGAAAAAAAACATCGCAAAAAATCCGTATATTTCCTTACATTCCTGTAATTTTGACACTCCTGATACTTTGCAGAATTTCAGCAAAAACTTCAGTTCCTGAAATTCCAATACTTAAAAATAAACGTAAAAATAATTAAAACAAATTTCTGAAAAAATGTTTAGATAATTTAACATGTAGAAAAAAATAATTAATTGTGTTTGACATCTGATTTAATTGAACAAGACAAAAAAAAACGTCGCAATACATAAAAAATCCACATACTTCCTTACATTCCTGTGATCCTGATATTCCTAATAATACTTCGCAAAATTTCAGCAAAAACTTCAGTTCCTGGAATTTCAATACTTAGAACTCAACGTAAACAAAAAAATGTTACACTCTTATTCTTAAAAAAGGAAGTCACTATTTAGGTCTTTAACATGTACAAAAAATATTAATCTTTGAACACCTTTCTGCATTTCTGATCTTGATGCTCCAAATAATTTCAAAAGTTTGTGTAAATTTCAAATTTTAAATTTGTGATAACTTTGTGAGCTCCTGTAATCTTTATTCTCCTGATACTTTTAAAATTTTACAAAATTTCAGCAAAAACTTCAGTTTTCTGAATCTCGATATCTCCTCGCGTTCCTGAAATCCCAATACCACTCAACAAAAAACGTTTACATATGTATTGTGATAACGGATAACATTGTGTCTGTTTGAAAAGAGGCTCACTATTACATGTAGCATGTGGAAAAAAATAATTAATTGTGCTTGACATCGTATGCACCCTTCGGTGCTTTTCTGGTTGTCCGTTTTTCTGTTTTGCGCTGATATCAAAGGGGTTTTTGTAAAAAATAGACAACAAACATTTATTTCAAAATATTTTTAACCGTATAAAATTTAAAAGCGCTTATAATGCACTGCAACATAAACACGGTATTTTCATACCGTGTAAACATGACTAATTAAATTATAAAACAGATACAACAGCTTGTTGCCAACGTTAATTATATTGAGTATAAAAATTGTTCGGGGGAAATCTCTCGGAAGAGCGAGCGATATTGAATTCTAAGACAATTCCATCGTCGCGAATAATTCCTGATTCTGGTATATATTTAAACTTACGATTTGGTTCATAGGTAAGGAGATAAAATAAGAAAATGTAAATTTTATCGCCGATTTTATTTGATTTAGTTCGCCGTTATGGGCACACGGCACACGAAGTGATCGCGAATCCCGCTTCCGTATAAGAAACAAGCTGATGAACCGTATGCGAACACACTTAATTACGTTAGGCTGGAACTGATTTTTCCAAAGATATGCTTAAACGTGCATGCAATTTTTACAAGTCGATTCCTCCAACTGGAAATATTATTAAGTTTCCCGCGGGACACGGCAAAAAACCTTCATAGAATTAAGGTCGAATTTCTACTTCCCTAACTCAGTTTCACTATTTTCTTTTATTTTTCTTTCGAATTCGACACCCGGTCACTTCCATAATTTCATTTTTAACTAGATCGACGATATTTATCGACTGCTCGCAGATAAATAATACCTAGACATAAATAATGGAGGGATTCTTGAGACACAAATTGGGATACCGCTTAACTTCATGTAATTTTCATATGATTGCTATTTGATTTCGCAAACGGATGCTCTTTAACGCCAAACATGACATGATACTAAATCGAACAAATCTTCTCGGAATCGCAAATAGTCGTTGGGACAGCCGCTTGCCCCTTGTGTAAAAGTCATACTACCTGGTTCGAAAAATGTCAAAATTTGTCAAAATTTATAGGCGAGCGGCAAAGCCGCGAGCCCCCTTCTAAACCTCTCACTATTTGATTTGCAAATATTTTATATAATTAATAAAAACTCACACTATCGGATTTAGTCAAAATTTATATTTATTTAATTATTTGTATTTATTTAAATTTATTTTGCCTCCTTCTAAACCTCATAGTATTTGATTTGCAATAAATATTTTATATAATTCAATTCAATTTTTTAATTACTGAATTTTCTCAATTTTTCTGCTAATAAACTGGAAATCTATTTTTTGTTAGTTCAGTGGGTACATCTAGTTTTTGTTACGTCGATGAAAATAATAAATTCATGTCATAACCTCAGAGTTGCACAATTTTTGACCAAATTTCCATCATCGTTTATTGTCTAAAGTTTGATATTTTTTGCTATAGTGGCCAGCGAAATTGCTCCGAGAGAGATGGTTAATTAATTTTTACACGGATTAAGAGCGATGGAGCTATCACGTTTCATTAATAAGATATAAAATTTTATTTATCGATGAATTACAAGCGCAAAAACACTCGAATTTGGAAAAACAGAACAAGAAGGTGATATTTTCAAGTCGGGCTTGCTTTCCATTAATCATGTTTTTAGCGCTAATTTTGCGGGGGATTAGAAGGTATTTTCGTAATTTTTTGTCGCTCTATAAATAAATTTTCGGCTGGAAAAATAAATGAACGTGTTTGTTTCGGAACAACGGCATTAATAACCCAGCATTCAAAGTTTTTTAATGGAAAAATTAATTATGACAGAAAACAAATAATCCCACTGTCTGAAAGTCTGAATTGGTTTAACACATAATTTAATTCGGATTACAGCGGTGCCGTATATGAAAACCATTTTTTGTACCGGAGTATTCCGGTGCTAAATTGGATCGTAACGACCAGGAATGAAATAAAAACACTTTGGTATTAAAGCGTTTATTTTAAAATAATTTCCGACGACTACACAAAGTGCACTTTACATTTTTGGTTGTCAAAGTTAGTCGAGTTATAATAATAAAATGAGTCTTAATTTCAGTTGGGAGATTGTGGAACTTACTGTATAAATAACGGTTGCCACCCGCAGTGTTTAATTATAATGATAAAAACATAAATTGCTGCTTTGTTGAAAGGAAAATTACAATTTCGTCGCGGGGTCACACCAACCTTATCGATGATTTAAAAATTTATGGAAAGAAAATGTAATTAAAAGTGTTAACAGACTATTATCACAAAGAAAACTAACGTAAAATCTAATAAAGCGTCCTTCTGGGTAATTTATAAGGCTGAAACAGTGAGTGCCCAAACTACTCTGAAACTTTTTGATCGAAAAGTTCCAAGTGGATGAAAGAATTTCAGCGCAATGTGTGCTAAATATCTATCTAATTTTCTTATTTCAGGGGTGTTATTAAAGTTTAAATTGATTTAAAGTTGTCAAGTCGCGATAATTAACTAGATGTGAAGGTTAGTCGCATAGTTTGCAGCCAACAAATAATTTGATTCCGACTTGGAGTAAGTCTAACGCCAACATCTTAACACATTCAGAATCAATACTTGTGGCGTACCTTCCCCTAAAAGCCAGATTCTAAGTGGTTTATGTAGATGATGTAATAGTATACGAACGGTGCAGCACTAAGCTTACTAAATTTCTCAAACACCGCTTCTGGAAACCTTCCTCAACATTAACAACTTGTAGAAAGATAAACATTCGCTACAAATTTGTTACAATAAAAAAGTTGCTTTCTATCAGTCAAAATCTGACAAATTTCAACCGCCATGTGCCAAAAATTGTCAAATTCTTACAGTGGTTTTTTATCACGATGCATCGCCATTTTCCGGAACCAGAATACAAAAAAATCCCGGCAGTGAATGTAATAATTTTTACAACCATAATCGATTTTTGAATACCTTTTCAGATATACGAATTTCGGGAATTGACCCCTTTGGACACACTCGAATTTCCGGAATTGCCCAAAAACCGGAAATGCACCAACATGACAATGCTCATAATTTTCATAATTTTTGTCGCCGGATTGATAGGACTCATATTTTCAATATCTCTGAATAAAAATCTGCACCGGTGGTGGTATGGCTACGACAATTGTGAAAATTTATGTGGTTTTAAAAATGTTAGAATTGCTTTTCGACAAGCAGACTGCCAACCCGAAGACTTTAGGGATTTTCCGTAAGTTTTTCTTTTGTGAAAATTTTCAAAATCGCGTTTTTCATACTTAGAGTAGTACTTTACGGGAATTTGTCTACAAAGTGTGTCAAATTGGCCGACTGCAAACCCTCCGAATTGTAAGTTTTGTGTTATTTTAAATGCCACCACAATAATAGTTTTTATTTGAAGTAACTTATTTTTTGGGAGATGTTTCCCAAAGCATTCACTAGATGAAGAAACTGAACGTGTACAAAAATACTTCGTAAAGTATTTCTCCTTGATCTTTTTATTTTCATTATTCATCAACTTTTTTAGGAAATAATTGGAAACACTTGGAAGGCGAGATTTGCTATAATGATCATGGTTTTCGCAGCACTTGGTAAAAAAATCCAAGCAACAATTTCTACTACTTATATTTTTAGGTCTAATCCTCCTGATTTATGTTTTCTTTCGGATAAACGCAAAATGCACCTTCATGGCTCTTATCATACTAATGACTTCCTTATCTGCAATCATCACAATTGGTTTCTGGTAACAACACACACAATTATCAAACTTTTGATTAATTCCAAATTACTAGGAGTACTTATTTTTTGAGACAAGGTCGTCCGTATTTAATACCAAGTATTGTGAGCTTGATACATTTGATATTTTTTCTAATTCTGTTTCATTTTCTTCGAAAACACTTTTCCTTAATGGTTCGCATGTACAAAGAAACTGTAAAAATAATTTTTGTAGCCCCGATTACTCTTTTTCAACCATTAATAGTAATTTAGGTCTCTATCAAATTTTAATAAGAATTTATTCAAATAACAAGTTTTAGACAATTTTGTTTATCTTCATCCTCGATGCAATAATTATCTATTTGTTGTTGCTTCTGTACGCAGTGGAGGGAAAAATTACTTACAGTCTTGAATTAAAGTAAGACACAACAAACCAAAACATTTTTTTTATTAACTTTTACAGAGTTTTAAACACTTTATTCATAATCGTGGTGATGTATTGGTTATTTGCTTTTGCCAATGGGTGTCAATGTTTGATTGTTAGTGGTGTGATTCAAGCGTATTTTTTTGCAAGGTATGATCAAAAATTGAGTACCAAAAATTCTCAACCAATTTTAGAAGCAAATCAACATTGTGTTGTCCATACTTTTTTTCTCTATGGGTGGCGTTGCATTACCATCTTGGAACCATCGCTGCTGGTTCTCTGGTGATAACAATTTTGCGCATTTTGAAACCACTAACTGAAGGCTTGGAAAAAGAACAACATAGTGGTTTTTGTGGCGTTATGGGGACTTGTTGCGAGTGGTTAAGAGAAATGAGTGAATATTTTACCCGAAAAGCATACATCATGACGGGTATTTTGATTACAATAAATTGGAAACAAGATTTACTTTAATTTAGCTCTTCATGGACGAGGAATCTACACATCGGGCCGACGAGCTGTTAGACTACTTTGGCTCTTTCTTTGTGATACAATAATCGTGGATCAATTTGCTTGTGTTTTTATGCACGCCTTGTCCTTTTTTATTATGTTATGTGGCTTGGTTTTGGGTCTTGTAATCATAATGGTAATTTTTTAAAACGGTTTAACTTTTCAAAAATACATTTTTCAGCCCTTGAAGATAAAATACATCTACGTTCCGGTTGTTTTAGGTGTGTGTTTGGCCGGAACTGTGACGTTTTTTTACGTTTCTGTTATGAATGTAGGTGTGATTGAACGAATAATTGAAATAGAATAACTCGTCTCGTTTCAGGTCGCAATCGAAACTTTATTTTTGTGTTTCTGTGAAGACAGATTCCTCAATACGGGATTGAGAGATAATCCTTATTTTATGACAGCGGAATTTTTTACTCTTATGATAGATGCTCTGGAAATGGCTTACGGAGGAGAACTTCGGTATAGGACATACAGTGATGAATGATTGTAATTACAAAATCTTAAATAAATAATCAACAAACTTGGTGTTTTTTTTGTTTCCATGGAATATTTTTTAAATGTGTCAAAATAAATTTTAAAGTTAAAAATTCAAGTTTTCAAAATGACGACTCCCACTGAAGAAATAGTAAGTATTTCTTCTATTTTCGCCACCAATTAATTCCTTTCAGAGCGTTCGAGATGCTCCACCCCAAGAAAGAAAACTCACAAACTTGTTTTTTTTCCTTGCCTTTATTGTCTGCTTAGTACTTTTGGTAAAAATCAAAACGGAAACGACCGTTTTTACTTTATGTGAATTTCAGCTACCATTTTCTGTTGTTTTTACAACAAACAACAATATGAAACGACTCCTTTACGGTTATGACAGCTGCGGAAATACTTGTGGAGTCAAAAACAGGCCTTTTTATAGTGTCAACTGTTCGGGAAAAGATATGAGCGAAAAACCGTAATTCCCCAAATTCGTGTAATTGTAATAAAACGCTATTTTCAGCATTGCAATGATGAAATATCAACTCACCAATCCGAATTGTATTTTCAGCATGAAAAAAGGTAAGAATCAAAATCTAGACATAAAAATTGTTATTTAAAAAAAGTTTTTCCGGACAAATGTGTTGAAAAGTGCAGCCCACCAAAGTAAGTTAATTTACAAAAAAATTTCCCTGTAATCGTATTTTAGCCAATTAATTTTCAACCGGTGTTACCAACCCGAAACAGAAACAAGCCTCGACAGCAGATCAAAAAATTTCAAACAACTAATCGTAATTTCTCAATTTAGTTTAGACAATTCCAAGCAAAAATTTTGTAGGAAATCGCCCACGCCATTTGTAGTTCCACGTCCACCATATTTACAATGAGTTTCACCGGATTGGGTGATGAATTCCCTTTTGGGAATATTTGAAACAATTTGTGATTTACAGTTTTATCTTTTGGTCTCTTTGTTTGCCTTCGTTGCCACGTCGGTGCCACTTTCTGGGGCTTGACAATATTCCAGTCATTTATGGCTCTCACAGCTGTGGCATTTTTTTGGCACAAATACATAATCAACGACAGTGACAATTCTACAGCTTATTTATTTCTAGCATTAGGAGCTATGGCCTATTTTGCTTTCATTTTTATTTTTTTCTTCGTCTTGCACAACACTTTTGCAATGATACGTCGCATATATCAGGAAGCTTCAAATGCGATTTTTGGAACACCAATGATTTTATTACAACCATTACTGGTAATAAACAGAAAAAAATCAAAAATTTGGTTAAGATAAAATTTTAGACACTGACTCTTCTGATTTCTATCAGCGTGGTAATCGTTTTTCTCGCGTTTTTGAGTTTGTCCACTGGATGTTTAAAAGCATCATACGAAAACCCTTCAATTTACGTACATGTAACAAATCCAGCTTCACTTTACTACATTGCTTATTTGGTTTTCATAATTTTGTGGATCTATTCTTTTGGTGAAGGTTTGCAAGCTATGGTTGTTTCCGGTGCTACGCAAGAATTTTACAACACGAGGTATAACAATTTTATTATTTTTATCAAACTAAAATATTTTTAGGGATAAATTTTTGAGAAACCCAATCAGAAAAAGTTTTCAAACTTTGCTAAATTATCATCTAGGAACAGTTGCTTGTGGTTCTTTATTATCAACCATTTTTGTGTTTATGAGAGGATTGGCGGAGTATATGAACAGAAAAGTTTATATTTTAACGGGTATGTTGAGTGAAATTTTACAGTGATTTATTTAGGGAAATTTAAGCTATGAAAGGAGAATCATTCTACAAGTCCTTGAAGCGAGCCATCACACTGCTGCGTTTAAACCTACTTGAGACAGCTGCAATAACTGGATTTAATTATTTGATCATTTCTGGATTTTCCTTTTTGATTGTAATCGTAACAGTAGGTGTGGGAGTTTGGATGAATTTGGCAAGTTTCTAATCAAAGTTTGAATTTTTCTAAACCATTTTCTAGAACACCGAATATACAACTAATGTCCGATTGGGTATATTATTTGGGGCAATAAGTGCCTCATTTGTGTCGCATTTCGTACTCCAAGTCTTACACGTAATTATTCGCAACAATAAAAAATATTAATAAATTCAACTGAATTTTAGACCACCACTGAAACGATATTTATAAGTTTCTGTGAAGAACGACTAACCACCACACCAAAAAAATAAAATTTTGTTTGTCTGGATCTGTTTTGATGTAATTCCTGTCTTAAATAAATGTTATTAATGTGCAGTGTGATTTTGTTCCATTAATGTCAAAATTAATGTCATACTTCAGAAATGAGCATTCAAAGTAATCAAAGAGAGACTCGTGAACCCCAATATAAAAAAAGTCCCGTTGAACCGGTATGTGCACAATTAGTAATAATAAATGTCAATTTTTGAGTTGTAGATTCATGAGTTTCGGCATCTTGACCCCTCGAAACCCATTGAATTGCCTGAAACGGCCTCAAACCGAAAATGTACCGACGTTTCATTTCTTCTAGTGTTCCAAATGTTTCAAATCGTTTTCGTATGTGTGGTACAATCTTATTAAACTTGTATAATTGTTTTTATTATTAGATTATCTCTTCTGTTTATATTGCGTGTGTCAGCGACTTAAGAATAGGAACACTTGGAACCGATGGTTGTAAAAATACTTGTGGAATGAAAAATGTTGTGAAATATAACAAAACATGTCCACTGGAAGACTACACGTACGCTCCGTAAGGAGACTGGTAGAATAGTTTTTTTTTTTTTATTTATTTTGATTTTCAAGATTTGAGCTCAAATCTGAAAAAAAGTGTGTTTCATATGACGAATGCAGAATGAGGAATATGCAAGTTCTTGCTCTGGTTTTACTATTTACCTGATTTTATTATTTTAGGACCATTGTAAATTTTGAATGCTTAAAGTCTCACAATTTGACCAAAAGTGAAAATGATTACTTAATGTCCCAGATTTCTTCGGAAAAAATGCTCCTAAAAACTATAATAATATTTGTCATAACGCCAATTATTGCCTCAGGTATTAATCACCTTAAACTTAAAATCTAACAATGATTAAAATTTTTAGTACTATCCATATTGGTCTTTGCTTCATTTCGAAAAAAAACATTTGCCACGTTTTACTTTTTCGCAATTCTTTCGACTATAATTTTTCTTTTTATAACTCCTGCTCTCTGGTAAGAACAATTTGATAAAAATGACTATAAAAATTCCAATTTTTAGGTATGCCATATATTATCTTACTTTTACGGAAAATTACAGAACGTCAAGTCTATGGTATCTTTACATCATAGCTGTGATTTGCACAGTAGTTACTATTTCTCTACCAATCATATTTTTCTGGCGCCGTCGCAAAACCAAAATTTTGATTCAATTGTATCGAGAAGCGACTCCTGCAATTTTTAAATCACATTACATGCTCGTTGCACCTTTACTCGTAATTATTTTTTATTAATTTTATCAAAAAAGAAGGAATTTTGATATTTTAGGCAACGTTGGTTATAGAAATACTAGCAATTATCGGCATCCTTATGTACCTTTATGCCCAAAGTGTGAAAATTCCACAAAATTCATCCTTCCCGATTGAGAGGTAAATAAATACATATTTTTATTTATGGTCCGATTTCAAAGATTGTAAATGTTCTCAAATTTGAAATATTCTTGATATGGGTCGGCAACCTATTAAAGATTTTATTAACTTTTATTATTTTTTTTAAGTTTGATAATTATTTTAAACAATAATTTCTAGTACAAGTAAAATATATTGCACATGACTGTACCAAGAAAACTAAAACCTTCCAAATTCTAAAGAAAAAAATATGAGTTCCAATTTAAAATTAGAAAGTTGAATATAGCCTAAAATAAACTATCGCATTTAGAAAAAATCTAAAATTGTCAGCTTATATTATATTAAAAGCCATTTAATTTATTTTTTTAATTTTTGAAATCGGTCCATAAATAAAAATTCTACAGCGCCTGTTGTTTATTTAAAAACCACCCTGTATAATTGTTAATTTTTCATGCAGAACGTTTTATGTTGGTTTCATGTGTTTTATGGCCTACTGGATATTTACATTTTCCATAGGATGTCAAAATATGATGACGGCTGGAGCAATTGCAAGTTATTACTTCTCAAGGTTCGCTTATTTTCTTTGAAAATTAAAAAAAAAAACAACATTTAAGGGACAAAAATTCTTTGAAGAACCAATATTTAAAATATGCCAAAATAGTGGTTCGATATCATTTGGGTACCATAGCAGGTGGCTCTTTAATAATAACAGTGCTATCAGTAGTTAAATTCTTGATTAATCAGTTGCGAGACCACAGTTGTGGTGATGCAATTTTGGACTGTTTCTGTGAATGTATGGAGGAATTTCTGCATTATATTAGTGTCAAAGCGTACATAATGACAGGTATTAAACACCACACAAGTAGAGACAAATTCTAATATTTTGTTCAGCAATCCATGGTAGAAATTTCCTAAAATCGGGCAAAAGAGCAGTTCGGATGATGTGGATCCACTTTTTAGATTTGATCCAAGTGGACGGATTCAACGCTGTAGCAATGTTCTCTGCTGGTGTTATAATTGTTCTCATTTGCCTCTTTATTTCATGTGCTATTATCAAGGTAACTAAAATTTTTCACGAAAATTTTTAATCGAATTTTTAATATTATAGGAAGAACATGTAAGTTTTTTACTTGTCACTTTCATCGGAACACTTGTAGTAGCAGGGGTTACTCTATATTTTTTCTTCTCATTGATAAGCGTAAGATGAAATATACGATTTAATCAACAATTTAAATTGAATTATTAAAGATTTCTATCGCAACAGTATTTTTGTGCTACTGCGAAGATAGGCATATGCACGATGGTACAGATCAACCTTATTTTATGAGTCCACAACTTGAAGCAGCTGTGAATGAAGCCTTGGAATTCGCTGCTGCAAGAAGGGCGGCAAAGGGACTTCAGCGGGAGCAAAACACTCGCCAAATTGCACAAAACAGTCCTCAAAATATTTAGCACACCTGTCAAGTAAAAATAAAATAATTTAAATTAAATACCGGATTTTATTTATGGTAAAAAAAACTTCTGTCAAAATGGACGTCAGTGTTACATTTAGGGTAGCAGGATTTTACATTTTTTGGTAATTATTTTGCGTCAATGAGCTTTCAAAGAAGGAGCACGGAGCCTGAATTTAAAAGTAAACCTGTGGAAACAGTACGTATGAAATTGATTTATACAAATACCAATGGAATTTACAAAAAAATAGTCTGTCCAAAAATCAAAAAATGTTGGAATTTTTTACATTGCAGATCCATGTGTTTAGACATCTCGATCCTTCAGCCCCCATTGTATTGCCAGAAAAAGCGTCAAATAGAAAGTGCACCGACATTGCATTCCTTATAGTTTTTGTGTTGTGCCAAATTATTCTGGTAAGTTTTTTAGCGTCATTGAGGTTTTATAAAATTTTTTCTTAACAGATTGTTTCTTCAACTTACTTTGTATGGGTTAGCGACCCAAAAATAACTGAGTTGGGTGAAGATGGTTGTGGCAATACTTGTGGAATAAAAAATGTTGTAAAATACAATGAAACATGTCCACTAGAAGATTATACAGATTATCCGTAAGAAGACCACAAATAAACTCAAATCATTTGTTGAATTCGAATTTTTAGACTTGAACTTTTCACTTCAGAAACATGTGTTTCGAGGAAGGAATGCGAGGAAATGGACATGTAAACATACATAGAATTTTTTTCTTAATGAAGTTTACAAATTTTAGGGTGGTATACTATATATATTGCTATATAAAACTCGAACCCAATTTAACCGAAGAGGAGGCTAATGCCATCAAGCTCCTGGTACACACTTCATAACATGAAAAAGTTTTTAAACTTTCATAAAATAAATTTTAATTTCAGATTTCTATGGAAGACTCAGAACCATATTTAAAGATTATATACTTTGTTTTAACTCCAATTGTTGCGTCAGGTTCTTATTTACTCTAAATTTTAACTCAACAATAATTAGGTTTTTTTAGTGTTTTCTATTGCTGTATTTGGTTTATTTAAATGGGATGCATTTTTTGCATTTTACTTTTTTGCCATATTTACATCCATACTATTTATACTTGCGGTTCCTGGTCTATGGTAAGAATTTAGAATAGAATAGGGCATATTTACGACTCAGTGCTCGTCAAGTCCCCTAAAACATTTTTTTAATAAAACCTTCCTAAGATTCCTATGGTTTTTGAGTTTTAGAGGATGGAGACTCGGTTCGCCGTTTTAAGAGAAAAAAAAAACAATTACCTCACTTATAATATAATACTTTTTCAGGTATTTAATATATTACTTAGTCACAACCAAAGGCTTTTTAAATCGGGCAGTTTGGTTAGTTTATGTCCTTACTATTTTTTGCACTTTAATAAGTATTTCTCTACCTATATTGCTCTTTTTTCGTCGCCGAAAAACTAAATTTTTAATTCAAATTTATCGAGAAATGATACCAGCCATTTTTAAATCAAACTTTATGCTGTTTCTACCAATGCTTGTAATTTTATAATTTTTGATAAATAAAAATTGTGATTTAATCTTTATAGGCCGTTATAACAATAATGATACTAGGTTTTGTGTGGATGATTTTATTTGAACATGCACTTAGTGTAAAAATTCCAGAAAACTCTTCACTTCCTGCCGGGAGGTAAAAATATATTTTTAATTTTTTAATTCTATTATCACATATTGTGTTTCAGATTGGTTTACATGGTTTTTTTAGGTTTTATGGCATACTGGATATTTCTATTTGCATTACACTGCCAAGGTATGATAGCATCTGGCGCAGTCGCAGGCTATTACTTTGCAAGGTTTGGTTGTTTCTTATTGTAGAAGTTTCATGGTAAAAATATTTTCAGAGACAAAGATTCTTTGAAGAATCAATATTTAAAATATTCCGGAATAGTGGTTCGGTACCACCTAGGTACCGTTGCAGCGGTTTCATTAGTAATTGTAGTGATAAAAGGAATTAAAATGATAATCCACAGCTTGAGAGACCATGAATTTGAAGCAATAGAAATTGCTCTCAACGTTTTATGTCACTGCATTGAGGAATTTTTGCATTACATTAGTACCAAGGCATACATCATGACAGGTACAAATTAAATTCTTTGTCTTTTACCTAAAAAATACTTTAGCAATCCATGGCAAAAATTTCTTAAAATCGGGTAAAAGAGCAATTCGAATGATGTGGATCCACTTCTTGGATTTGATCCAAGTCGACGGATTCAATCTTGTAGCCTTGTTTTCTGCTGGTGTAACAATTATCAGTATTTGTCTATCTGTTACATATACTATTTTGAATGTAAATATTTTTTCTCATAAAGAAGATGCAGTACTTTTAAATTTCTTTCAGGACGAACATAGATATGTTATATGGTTTGCTCTAATTGTAACAGCTGCAAGTGCTACAGTTACGCTAATATTTTTTTTCACATTGATAAGTGTGAGAGATGTTCAAACTTAGGCTACCAAGAGATAATAAAACATTTCAGGTTTCAATTTCAACACTATTTTTGTGTTACTGCGAAGACCGGCATTTGAACGATGATTCAGACCAACCTTATTTTATGAGTCAAGAACTTGCAACTGCAGTGAGTGAAGCTCTCGAATTTGCTGCCATAAGAAGGGCAGAAAAGGCACATCAACTACGGCAAAGAAGTCGCCATAATCAACAAAGCAATTCTCAAATTGTTCAATAAAAACGAAATGAACAATCTTGTAAAACAAACAAATAAAATTCCTAGTTAAGAAACAAATAACATTTTTACTTTTCAATCAGAAATGACAGAATTGTGTGTCACACTGTCAAGTCTCAACTTTTTATATTAACACAATGATTGATATTGATATTCACAAAATACCACCAAAAACTGTAAGCTAAACAAAAATTTTTCCACTGACTAACATTATTTCAGATCGCCGAATTTCGAAACACTACAGAAACTGAAAATTTTCAAATTCCGGAAAAGCCCGAAAATCGCAAATGTACCGATATCGGCTTTTTAATATTTCTAATACATGTAGTTGTAACCACGGCAAGTCTTAAACATTTTGGCGACAAATTAACCATTTTTCTCATAGATTATTTTTGTGGCTTATAATAGTACTATTGGAACGAATTATAACCGGTTTTTGAACGGTTATGATAAATGTGGAGACACCTGTGGTATCTCAAACCGCGCCGTTAAAACCGTTCAATGTTCGGGAAAAGATTTAACGAACAAGCCGTGAGTGTGCCAATACAAAAAAAAATTCCAACATTTTTAATTATAGATTCATGACATTTAAATTCACCGATCGGAAAAACGACTCAAAAACCAAAATAGAAATTTTACCAGACGTTTGCGACAACCGATGCGATCCTCCCAAGTGATTTCGTCTATTTCTGTTCTTTTATTTAGTAGAATATTTGAATTTTAGCCGACTGATGTTTCATCGGTGCATCCCCGATGCTGATCAAGACAGGAAAGCCAACATTATTATAAATTTTGCCGTAATTATTCCATTATTTGTGTTATTAATTAGTTATAATATTTGCGAAGGAATTTTGCAACGATCTCAAACTTACTATAAACACGATTATTATCCCAATGGCTATTATAGGATTAGGTACACAAAACTAGACAAAAACTCTCTTTATTTCCCAAATTTTTCCAGTAGTATCCCTGTGTTTTTTCCTCGGATTGCGTTACTCGTCAAGAATTACAGTGTTTGGAGCAGTTGGCATAACACTCATCTCTCTTCTTTGTTTCACTTCATACATTTGGCAAGTAAACTCGTACTTTAGTCACAAAACTCCAACAATGTTTTAGGTACTGGTTTTCAGAAAATCAAGACAATACAAAGCTTCTCTACATTGGAATCGTATCATCATGTGCGATTTTTTTCCAAACAATTTTCATTTGTTACTTCTACAATCGATACTCTATCATTATCAAAATGTTTAAAGAAACAACACAAACAATTTTTTCGATGCCTTCTCTAGTTTTTGTACCTTTGGGAGTAATTTTTGAACTAATCGAGTGACAATTTTTTAATTTTTTTAACTGCTAGACTTTAGCTTTCCTCACTGTGGTAACCACAAGTATCGTCTTTCTCGGTGCTTTAATTAGCACCAATCACTATTTAAGGGAAATCCCAGGCCACCCATCTGCATACGAATACAGAGATACAAAACTGGCAACAGCTGGGCTAGCATGTATTGTAATTTTTGGAATTTGGACATTTGCCTTGGCCAATGGGTGTCAATGCATGATCGTTGCTGGTGCCATTTCCACTTATTATTTCACAAGGTGAGTAAATTACAACATTACAAAATTAAAAAAAAATGTTATAGAGACAAATCAACGTTGCAAAAACCAGTTTATGCAAGTTTTTTCGTCTTGATGCGATACCATCTTGGCACAGTTGCTTTCGGTTCGCTGTGTATAACATTTCTTTCAATCGGACGATTGTGTTTTGAGTTTATTTCACAATACATTAAACAAGATTGGTTGAAAAAAAGAATGAAAGCGTTTGTGTCTCGTATTGAGGCAACGGTGGAATATTTATCCAAACGGGCGTACATCCAAACAGGTAATAAATAATTTGTTTGTTTTGTATTAAAAAAATTTAAGCAATGCATGGAGAACCACTGTATTCGAGTGGGAAACGAGCAGCGAGACTTCTTTGGGCTAATCTATTGGACACTATTGTGCCTCATGTAGTTGGCAATTTTATTGTTATTAGTATCACAATTTCTGTGGTATTATTAGGAGCACTCTTTGCGATAATTGTGTACAAAGTCTGTTTTTGGCATGGTTAAGTTGAAAATAAATTTGATTATTTTCGTAGACGACGGATTTAAAAGTGATCTATTTCTGGACTATAGTGGCAATCGGGGCTGGCATTTCCGGAACTATAATCTACTTTTTCGCACAAGTTTTAAATGTAAGTATTATTTATGTTCGAAAAATTCGTGTTTGTAGTGATCGTTTAGGTGGCCGTCGAGACCATATTTATATGTTTTTGTGAAGACAAACTTTTACATAGTGGAAATAATAATGAGTTTTTTATGAGCCAAGAGCTGAAGACGTTGATAGACGAGGCTAAAAAAATAGCAAATTGAGAATGAGAAAATTTATAAAGATATGTTTTACTTGTAGTTTATATAATAAAAATATGTAAAAAACAAATCTGAATTTGTCAAGGAGTGAGAATCCATGAAAAACCCTGACATTGAAATATGATTTTAGACGTAAAATCACACGTTGAATACGATGCAACAGATTAAAATGCTCTACGATGAGTAGTTCTTGAGATATTCAGTAATAAAGATAAGCAGACAATTCTATTCTATCAATTTTATATTTTATAAAATATTAATAAAATTCTAACAATTCAAAAAACAAATCTGTAGCACACCTTTCTTTACAAATTGACACTATACAGACTGTGTCACAACTAGCGCCCCAGATTTTTTTTTAAGTAAAATAAGATACAAGGAACATGGAAAAAATGTTTAAAAAATTCTGTCTGTCAATCTATCTATTTTTTGACATTTGACATTTATTAAATAATGATACTGATGATCTTGTTTATGTTTTTTTCTAATTATTTAGTAAGTGTACAAACATTTTGCCAATAAAAGCCACAAATAACATTAAACAGGGTTATAGTTTAAGATACAGCTTCCTTATTTCCCCTTCTAATAGCCTGTAGGAAAAAACTTAGAAAATGCATTTTCTTACAGAAATAAATAGAGCCAAAATGTAAAATTTAAAAACACAGAACTCATTCTAAATAAATCAATGTATTTTACAAAAATTATTGCTTAAAATCTAATTTTAGGCCAAAATAAAGCAAATCGTGCAATTTCAAAGTATTTCAACATAATAAATGCTTAAATAACAATTTTCTGCCAAAATAAAGCAATTTCAACTATTTCCAACTCAATTTTGATCAATTTTAATACAAAAATCATTCTAAATCTAAGTACTTTATAAAAATAATTGCTTAAAAGCACTTTTTACGCAAAATGAAGCAATTTATGTTATTTCCAATCGATTTTGCTCAATTTTAAGCCTGAAATCAACCTGAATCAAAGTTTTTCAAAAAAATAAAGGCTTAAATAAGAATTTTCTTCCAAAATAAGCAATTTGAGCCATTTTCAATCCAATTTTGCTCGATTTTAATATAGAATTTATTCAAAATTAATATATTTTATAAAAATAATTTCTTGTCTCATATTGTTATCTCTTTTTTCCATGTTCCTGGTATCTTACCTTAGCTTAGTCGATTGGTGTCAAGAAAACCCCAAATTCTTGATAGTTTGTTGTCGAATTAATGTTTTTGCTATTGTTGTCTTCTCAATAACTATTTATTATAGAATGATGATCTTTTTTTATAAGATAGAMAATTAAAAGAGCTTTCCAACGATACCAACACAAAAGGATTATCGATAACACCATAAAAGTTATTAAATTAATATAAATTCCCGGTACCGAAATTCAACCAAAATTAAAAACTTAAAAAAATTAATACAAGAACAAAAAACGTTGTAGAGGCGCAAAAAATAAATGAAAAAAAATTGAGTTTGAATAATTAAACTGGATTGAAGTAGAGACACTGGACGGGAGCGTGTTGGCGCAACGACATAATGTCCCGCCTTCGGGCAAAGCAGCATTTTATTTTAAATTCAAATTCAAATAAATGTTAAAAGATGTTGCATAAAACCTTTAATATATGTAAGTGTAATAGAGAAGTAGAATGAAATATAAAAAAATGCGAGAACATGAAATGTATAATAAAAATTTAAAAAAATTCTTTAGCTAAGTGAGACAACAGTTAGCTCTCAAAAATCGTACCCAAAATTAAATTTTTCTCAAAAAAATGACGTTTTTCTAACTCTACGAGAGTTTGAAAAAAATCGGTATTTTCTTTAATTTTTCAGTGAGAATCCCTCGAAAATTGTAGCAATTTTAAATGTGGACCAAAAATAGTCTTTTGAGTGTTTTGTGAAGCCGAGCAAAGGTAATTAAAGGTGACGCAATTGGAAAGTTTACAAATCTAATACTGGTAATAACTCAGGAAGAGACAAAGCACATATAAATGGAATAAGTTGTAGGTATTGTTTGTTAGAGTTGGGAAAGTAGTTCCGGGAGGGCGAATGTAGACGAGATCCGCAATCATCGGGTGCGCTTACAATGCGAGTATTAGATTAACACGAAGAGCGCTTGAATTTAAAGTAGCCCGCCCTCAATTACACCACCAATGCTCGAGGTACCTACCTTTCCCACTCCAGCTGATTGAATTACATTACGTCCATTTTCCACTTTCCTCCAGTAAGTGGAAACTTGGAATCTTATTATTACGATGTTGCTGTCGACGCCGGGACAACAATACAATTTCATCCACCAACTTTGCTTAAATCCACCTCTAATCCAATTACTTGTCTTCAAAGACAAACGCCCCCCAATTCTGACCTTCGAAATCAAAAAATTGCAACGCAAAGTCAACGAGAAACTAAATCAAACATTCAAAACTTTTTTTTTGTTAAATAAATAGTATGAAAAAACTCCATTTGTGCTTTAAAGTTGGACAAACCGATAAAACCACAATTGTGCGGCTAGATAAATTGAAATTATTCGGTTATAATAAAAAGTTGTATAAACAGAGTTTTGAAAACGTGTAAAAACGTTTAACATTGGCCATTTTTTGTTCAATTTTCACTGACGTAATTGCAAATCGGGAGCTTTCAAGCCCACGCCATAATTCCAAAGTTTGTAGTGCATAAAAACTAATTTCGGTATTAAAATTTTGTCAATGTGTCTTCTTATGACACGGCGTTGTAAACTTATTACCCAAAGCTTTAGCTTTTACAAGAGACGGATTATAAGGAACGCGATTAAAATTTTATGTTCCATGACTTAATATCTTTAGTAGGATCTTAATGACAAACTCTACTTTGTGAGGTGACAATATTGAATTTGTCTCCTCTTCATAATGCAACAACTACAAAAATAAAGATTCCTGATTCGTGAAATAAATCGTGAAACCCAACCCTTCCCCAAAACAATGTTCTCTTTTCCATGCAGCTTTTGTTCTTTTTGTATTATTTCTGAATACGACCTTTTATTTAAGTAACAGAATAATAAAACAATTAAATTTATAACATTCGAATGGAATAATTATTTGCCCGGCAACAAGAGCCACCTTGTTTGCGCGTTTTCCCGCCGAAGTGAAATTAAATACAGAGAAATTTTACGACGTTGCATAGAAACTCATAAAAGTCGAGACAATCATAATGAAAAAATCGTAAACTTTATTCTCAATATATGATGAGAAAAAGATATAAAGGAACGTAAAACAAAGGTCCGATGTTATGGTGATGACTCTGTTTCTGGAATTCTCCAATGCGACATAAAAAAATTTATAATATTTGTAAGAACAAACGGTAAAAGCGTAGGTAAGTCGGAAGTTGCTTCCGCAGATTCGCTGAATTGCTTCGTAAAAAACGAAACGACGACTACACTAACAAAAAATCAATTTCGACATTGGATGCTTTAAAACCGGCGAAACAATAAGAAATTGTTTATTAAATTTAAAACTACTCGAGGATCAAGTTTCAGACTGAATTACAATAAGTTTTAATTTGGAGGTGTGCGGAAAGTTTTGAATTTCAAACTAAAATAAGGAAAAAGTGGCTAAATTTTTTCGTGTAAACTGGCACAAAAGTGGCAAAATTTATTGCACAAAAGCTGCATTATTTGGAAAAAAATATATAGATACACAATCTGGCGTATTTTTGTGCGATCGGTTCAACAGCAGCATTAAAGAAATTGTAATTTATTGCCTGCCTTTATAGCTGTAGTTTATTCGCGACTATGTAAGTTATAAAATGTTGAGTTGGACTTTTACCAAAGACAGGATTTACACCAGTTTCTTGTACAACACAAGATTATCTCTCTAACAACAGATTTCATAAATTTATCACAAGCAATTGAGAAAACAATAAATTTTCTTCAATGAATGTAAAATATTTTTTATCCGCAAACGACACAAAAATGACCACTTTTATAACTAAATATCACAAATAAAAAGGTTTACTTTTCAGGCATGTAGTAAAAATTCTATTAAGTATTTTTACTTTTACCATGAAATTACTGACATTTACCAATGTTAATTTCTTTCTTGTCTCTTGCATTGATCCTTAACATTCGACATTTTGCACTACTAACTGCACTAGTTAAATATACACTTTCGAAAATCTGTTTATAGGTATTGTTTTGATTTCATTACTTGCAAAGCGTTAGGTTATTTTGTTCATTTACTTGCTAACTATAATGTTGTTCTTTACTCTCGATCCAAATAGTACAAAGTGTCTATAAATGATTTTCATCTAGCCAGCTGTGAATTTTCCATGTAAAATAAAAAATGCCGCTTTACGAAAATAGGGGTACCTACTTGTTGTAACTCAAAATTAAAAAATCGCCGTTTACTAAGCGTCCACTTCGAAAATAGACTTCAATTATAAACTTGTTTTTTTCCAAAGTATACATTACTATCAATTATTATTGGAAATTAGTTGGAACAATAAAAGTTTAATTAACAACAATTTATTATTAATTAATAAGTGACACTAATGACAGAACTAGAGCTTTCAAAAAAGTAGAGCGGCACAAATAAAGTTACATGCAAAAGAATTCGAAAGCTGGCTAGATGAAAATCATTTATAACCACTCTGTATATGTTATTCGGAGTAAAAGTGAGTTTATGTGGCATACAAACTATCACTTTTTCTCCTAATAACATAAAATACTATTTATTTCGAAAAATCAAAATTTTAAAATTGGACCCAATAGCACTTTGCATAAAACGTTGTTCAGACGTGTCAATTTCATTGAAGCATTATAGAAAAGTGAAAAATAAAAATAATGAGTAACAATGAAATATTTTACTTTTGCTTGCAGAATGTAAAATGTTTCTTTTAATTAACTCTTAAAAATAATTAATAGTATTTAAGTAAAGCAAACGTAAAAGATGTGAGAAAATCTGAAACTATTTCAGCTGTTTAATAATTAATGAAAGCATTTTCTCTCCATTTTTTCTAATTTAAACTTTGCAGCTATTTAAATTTTGCGGCTAAGCGTTATATAGTCTACCTTTCCGGCA